TCCATCCTTCCCACCTCATGACTCAAGGCATCGTTAAACATGACAAACATATATGTATAAAAATCATGTATAAGCACCCCTATGTTTATCCGCGTAATAATCTTCCAACCAATTCACATGTCTCATGAAATTCTGCATGAACATCTTGCCAATAAAAGTCAGTTCTCTTCATTCATTCATCTGTAATCTGTCAGACGACAGGTCCACAGTCTCTTCCAAAACAGTTCCTCCACTTGATGCGATCTAGAGCTTTCTCCTTCAAATGAAAATATCCTCTCCTTTCTCACGTCTTCTTCCTCGTCTTCTGGTCACTTCTATCCGCCCCTCTATCTTTCCTTCAATAACTCTCTTCTTTATACTTTATAATTTACCATAACCAAAACATCAATATTGTCATCAAAATTACAGTACCCTCAGGCAGTAGCATAACAATGTGGGTGGAAAATTTCTCTACCCTCAGGCAGTAGCATAACAATGTGGGTGGAAAATTTCTCTACAAGTATTTTCATACTGAGTTACTATTTTTCGTGTTTCACGAAGGCTTCGTAAGACAGAACATTTTACAATGAAGGAGTTTCAACATTACGTCCAGCCACGAAGCTTTGTATGACTGCTTATTCAGTACAGGGATGGAGAGATTGTGTGTTCCATTAAGAATATGAGGACGCCCTACGTTCGGTGTCGCTTCGTTGGAATATATTATCACCACGGCCTGGATTTTGATGACATGTCATCTTTTTTTCCTTGTATCCTATGCGATGCTCTTAAATATATAATTTTCTCGGATATGAGCTGCTGGTTACCGAAATGTAAATTTTATAGGTAGTTCTTTGACATTTTTAGGTTTAAGTTAATTTTTTCGTTTTGCGGCTAATTTTTTGGTAAATTTTTGGGCTTTTAAGGGTATTTCTTTTAATTTTTGGCCATTTTAGGAAATTGTTCTTCATATGTTTTCTGAAATGTGAATAATATGGAAGCGAAGTGTTCTTTCTTTTCTCCTTCAAGTCATTTTTCTGGATTTTTTCGGTCATTTTATAGGTCATTTTGAAATATTTTCAGGTCATCAAAATACGGGCCCTAATTATCACTCTTTATTTTTTAAATTTCTCTCAAAAATGTGTCTAATAAGCCGAAATGAACCAAAAAGGCTAGACTTTGGTATTTTATGATGTAGTTCCTTTGTTATGAAAGAACAATTGCAACATAAACTAAAGAATTACTTAAAAAAGACTTGAGTGTTACAGGCAGATGTCAGTATGCATAGAGTTATATACGTGAGAAAGACAGGAACTGAAAATCAGCAATAACATAGTTAAGAAATTGTGCATATCTAACAGAAATGAGTGCCAGGAATATTCTTGGAATATTCTTGGGGTAAAGGATGGCCGGCGCGTAGGGCTGACAACCTTACCGCCATTATGGGCCGATTGTCTAGAAAATGTGGGAACCTCAACATCTCACAACCCTATGGGCCTCAACGGCCTGTTACAGGGATACATTTACTTTTTTACTTACTTTACCTGTGTGATGGTAAGTTTTGATAATGTTCAAAATTAAAATTAAAATTACTATCAATACACTCCGAAAGTCAGATTACATGGAACAAAAATTTCGTTAATTAATTTGTATGAATGTGAAACATGATCTCTTATTTCGAGAGAGGAATATAAATTATAAATTTGTTATAACAAACACTCGGGAAAGTATTTGAATCTAATGAGGATGAAGTATTAGTTAAGTTGGCACTTTACAAGTTATACAAAATGTATACAAAAGTATGCAGACTACACAACAATATTCTGTATTTAAAACAAAGTAGACGCTATCGTATCAGCATTTGTTTTTATTGACGCAACATGTTTCGACTCTTATACTGGGCCATCATCAGGCGTAAAATGATACCAGACTCAGTTGTTGAATTGCATCTAACTAATTGCATCTAATTCTTCAATAAGGATCCTTATTGTGCACTTGAATGTTTTAAATGCATAAATTGAGTCTTTCTGGTAAAAATTTTAAATACTCAGATAATAATTATTATTAATAATTATTTTATCTGAAAGACTCGGTTTATGCATTTAAAACCAGTCAAGTGCACAATAAGGATCCTTATTGAAGAATTAGATGCAATTTGTTAGAGATGACCCAGTATAAGGGTCGAAACATGTTGCGTCAATAAAAACAAATGCTGATATGATAATGCCTATTTTATTTAAATACAGTATATCGCTATGTAGACTGCATACTTTTGTATACATTTTATGTACCTTGTTTATGACACTCAACAAGATGCATACTATTAAGATTGGCACTTTACATTCTTGTTAACCTTTCGTCTATGTCACAATTGTGCGGAGTGGATGAGAATTGAACTGGTTCATGGTCCTGTCGAAAGGAGGCTACTTTCAATTTATTGCATGGCAGTACTCCCTATCACACGTTATGTTAAGCAGAAGTTTCAGTTTGACAGGTACCAAGTAAGGGAGGGAAGTCGACAGGTTGTTCAGTCAATATGTCACGCGGTAATTAAAGGTTTCGTTTCTGTCCTCACTCTGCGTAAAATACATCACTGTGTCCTGCCGTATTCTATTGATCTACTACAACTGGACAGCTTGGGGCTAAAACTGACCAAGTGCAACATTTACTTTTTTCGGTCGATCTTCATCAGTTCTACAGTCCAGTGATCGCTTCCCATGCACAACATCCATTTATTACAGATCCCAGAGCCTCTGAAGGTGCCACATATAACCTACAAATTTCGCGTAGTCGAAATATTTACTAACTTTGACATAGGCACTACAAGTGTTTCACATATAAACAAAAGATAATTTGTAAGATTTGAGGTTTTCACGGCGGTGACTATGAAGAATGACGTCTTCTGGGATGTGGCGCCATGTAGATCTTGTGTGAACCGACGTTTCGGAGGAACGTCGCTTTACACAAGATCTACAGGCGCCACATCCCACAAGACGACATTCTTCAAAAGATATTTTCTTTGTGTTTCTTCTCGTAAAGCTGTAAAGAGCCACTGGTAATTCGTGACTCATTATCAAAGTGACATCAAACAGAAAACTCACATTGATTTCGCATGACGGTTACGCTGCGAATTTATATTCTATATCATGTCAAAGAAAGCTGGATATTTTCCGAAGATCTATTGTTATAATATAACCTAATGTTAAGAGGACTACTACTTTTTCTTTCTTTGGCACTACAGCCCCAATGGGCCTAGGCCTGCCTCCATGAACTTCTCCGTTCACTTCGGTTTTTCTAGATCATACACATTCGGTAGGACTCCTTGGGCGGGTAATCAGCTCGTCGCAAGGCCTCTACCTGCACACAAACACAGAAAAACGCACACAAACATCCATGCCCTGAGTGGGATTCGAACCAACGATCTCGGCTTCCGAGCGAGCGAAGACAGTGCATGCCTTATACCGAAGAGGACTACTACTACTATGTTAATTATAGCTTTGAGTGGCAAAGTGTACAACAAATTGTTTATGAAATTCTATTAATGAGTCGCGATGTTGTTAAGAGGGGAACATTCAAAAGGACGGACATTATACCACGAACCTATCTTTCATTACAAAATAAGGTAAGATGCTAAATTTATATCTTGCAGATTTCTGCAGTGGCACTGGAAATTGTGAGGAGTTTTCTTTAACTGAGCGCAATTAACCCAGTAACGAGGGAGTTGCATAAGCCTTCTTATACTGTCGGCTCTCTGTACCGTTTTCACAGCTAAGAGGACATGTTGCTGCCTGCTCAGGAAAGCAGCCGTATGGTGGGACGAGCAGACAAGGAGGCGCATTACGTATAATCTGTGTTACACATTAGCGAACGCAACATTTGTGTCCTGTTTCTGAAGAAAGAGACAGAGATAACATTTCAGGGCAAGCGGAAGAACTTTAGATGATGAAGAACTAATGTACTTAACTCGGTATCTGATTAGGTCACAGAACTGAAAGTATTGGCTTCAGTACGGCAATTCTATTCCAGTTTGATTCCTTCAATAAGGAGAATTTCGTGATAAACGTATTACTTTTGGGCCAGTTGGCCAGATACAAGTTTCTATTAAAAATCCACTTCCATACTTTGCCTAAAGGAAGTTGTCGTTTTGAACTGGATTTGTTTCACGTTTAAGTAAACAGTAACGTGTTCTATGTTTACGCCGACTAAACAGTAACGTGTTCTATGTTTACGCCGACTAAACGGTAACGTGTTCTATGTTTAAGCATAGTAAACATAAACGTGTCCCACCATCTGAAAAGACTTAAATATAATTATTTGTGGGGGATGAATATTTTAAATTATACGCTACCACAGAAATGCACGTGAGCCAACAAGCTCAGTAAGAACGGCGGCAGGGTTTCCAGGTTGGACTACCGGAGCCTCGGGGTTCGATTCAAGTCGGAGGCAGAGATTATTCTCTCTGCCACCGACTTCAGACCATCTCTGAAGAACACATAGACTTGAAACCTGAATGTGCCTGGACCTCTTTCACTGTTGATACCTCGGTCCGAGGGTGACGCTAGCCACACCTTCATCTAGTACCCAAGGATAAAACAGGCTACAGCCGTACCTTTACAAGCAAGCCGAGGCCTATAAGAGGCTGTAGTTCAGATCTTTTCTTTACACAAATACACTCACAGAAACAGTTTCCTTATTACAGGTCACATAACATTAGGAGCAACAGGCTTGTCAGTGCTGACCCCGTATTCAGCAGACTGTAAGGGCGATCATAGCTTTGGGCCAAGGACTCACTGGGATCGCCGGATCGATGGGCGCCTAGGACCTCGACAATGGCCTGCGACCACCCCACTTTCGCTAAAATCACCCAGCAAGCTTTTACGGCTCCACGGGTTGTATAATTTAATTCAGGAAGTACCGAGTTACAATTTCGGTTGGCTTAAGCCTTTCGTGGTTCTCAGAAATTGTAGGCGAATCCTGGGGCAATATTTTTCATTAGGCAGGAGAGCTTCTTTTCATGTCCGTACCTTCTAATAGTAGAGCAGGGATAGCGCTGTTGGTATAGCGACTGGCTTCGGGCTGGACGGCCGAGGGGTCTGAGTTCGAATCCCGGTAGACGCAAGAATTTTCTCCTCTCCGCGTCGTCCAGACCAGCCCTGGGGTCCATCCAGCCTCCTATCCACTGGGTACCGGGAAAAATTACACGAATAGAAAAAAAACAGAAAAGTAAAGAGGAAAGAAAGAAACACAAAACAGACAAAGCAAACGAGAACCTTAAGAGGAAAACAAAGAAAAACAGGAGAAGCAACTATGGAAGGAGGAAAGACAGAAAGGAAGTGACGATGAGAATAGACGAGAAGAAACAAACAAACATTACAAATTGGAAGGTTACGTGTGCCGGGTGTCTGGGGCGAAGTGGCCTCCGTGAGGTATCATTTTGTGCCTTACCTCGCCCGCTGCCCGCTTTGCATGTGAGCGCAACAGAAAGAGCAGCAGAATCAGATAAGCAAGTTATCAGCAGTGACTCTGCCATGGTTTTATTGACCATTATCCTTTCATGTAGTCCCAAGGGTTTCTGGAAATGTTTCATTAGTCACTGCAGTACTGTCTGTTGTTTGCTTCAATTAAAATATCTCTTCTCCATGCAACAAGGAAACCGCCCCTTATGTCGGATCCTTTAGGTCCAGCTAGCACAGCACGTGTTAAATTTCCTCTATTCGTCGTTTGTTTACCTACTTATATATGTTTACTTCTACCATCGCTTCTTCCCGTCTTATTGTTTGCCTAATTGGGTAAAATGAGGCACTTCCGCCATACACGTAACTTCGCGGTAGTAACTTGTAGACTCTGCCGAATCCGCGTATTGCAGACACTTCTCCTGAAGATATAGCACATGCATCGCTCTCTCTCACTCTACTCATGGGAGTCACAAACACAATCTCTGTTCTGTGCGGGCACGTTTTGTTCCTGTTCTTTTTCCTTTGTTATAGCAATACCTATATTTTTGGAGATATCACGGGTTTCTTTCTCCGTTTTCGATAGCAGAAATCATGCCCATGCATACGTTAATATTTTGTGTTACAGCAATATTTCTATGAGTTATATCAGAATAAAATTCCTGTCCATACCATGTATTTTTATTTTGGTTCAATCACGAAATGAATATCTTCCTTGCAGACGTTTCGTCCCACACAAAATATCATCTGCGCTATTACATACGGGCATTTACAAATCATTGAAATTTCACTGGTCACAATTCCTGGAAGAATATATTCAGAAAATTGTCAGAGAAAACCCCGAACAGAATTTCTTTCCACATAATAAGAGTATTGGGTCCAGCGTACACACTTTTGCGTGAAAGAAATACAGCATACCTCCAAAAAGACCAGGATTCATCCTATCAACGAAGAGGCAATTCCGCAAGAAGCTGATGCATCATCCCAGTTCACCAGCAAACTACTCCTGACTCACACCAACAAAGCCGCCAACGCTCATTTACCTCTCCAATATAACCCTAATGACACTGCCATTGATCACAGTGAGACCCAGCATTGATGTGCCAGAAACAGACGCAGAAGATTCAAGTGCGAAGTTCCTTGCTTCTCCCAGTGAGCTCACTACATCAGTCTCAGAGCCTTCCACGTCAACGTCAAGAGATCTCACGCCAGCAGACAAGCCTAAGGAAATACGAAAGACCAGACTTAAGAGTTGGACTGTGACGCATGCGGTGTCAGCCGCTGAGATGATGCGCGCTGAATTTGTGCAGTGGTCTTGCAGTTTGATGTCATGGCGTGAGCAGATCTCGTCGTCGGATAATTGGGAAGTGGTTTGCATGCGACAAATTCTGCGGTACCGAAACAGAAGCCGAGGAGTGTGAGTGGAGATACCGGTGTCAGAAGTCGACGTCTACAGCAATTCTGAAAGACTGTCTGATTTTACTTTAAATTTCGCTAAAAGCGGCACAGTGTTCTCGGAAGTTCAAATGTTCACGGTATTTTTATGTACCATATTTATATTACATAATAAATTTGTTTTTAATTATTGATGAAATTACCAGATTACTAGCATAAAGTTTTAAAATCCTGGTTACGAAACTGCCTGCTTAATTTTCGAAATTTCTTCATTTATATTTCGGGAAAGTAATAAAATACAGAGCATATTTTCTGCTGTTTCTATCTGATCCTAATAATGATATACTACCAAAGAAATTTAAAATTTTCCGATCACAGTGACCACACAGTCTCAGGTATGAACGCTGGGATAGTGAGTTCGAATTCCATTCGAAGGCATGTTGTCTGTTTGAGCGTTTATTCTGTTTGCGCTGTCCTGTGTGTAGGTAGCGGCATTGTGACGGGCTGATCCCCCTTCCAAGGAGTCCTACCGTCTGTTTAGAAAGATTACGAAACTGAAGAAGAGGCCAGGGCCCAACAAAGGGCTGTAGAGCCATTGATTAATGAACGAATGAAAATATTTACTATGTACTGTATAACCAGCGATTCTCAAATTTTGTGAGACCGCGGCCGGATAATTTTTTTATAAGACGAGGGCTTCGTATAATTGAAGACAGGGGCTGAGAAACACTGCTATATACAGACGAAAAAAAAAATACCAACAACAAATTATAAGTTTGCTGAGGATACTTTACTCGTACTTTGCTCTTCATCTGTTTCCTCTTAAGTATTTCCTTAATTAACGACAAGACTCTTAGACAGAATGGACTCAGGGTAAAGGCTTTCTCAACACAGCTGACCCACCAAACAGAAGAAATGCATACATTAATTTTAATTCGAGGTTTCAACAAGCGATCATACGCTTGTTCCCGAGTCGTCCCGAGTGGTCCAAGATGGCGTCTGTGGCTGTAATTGGTTGGTCATAACTTCAAGTTAAACAATGCTGATTATGCTACCTATTCCCTAACAACACTTCAAATACTGCAATCCAAAGAAGCTATGCTACATTTTACAATGTTCGGTTGTAAATATAAAGTTTCTTTCAGGGCTGCAAGTCACGAGCTCTGGGAGAAGCTTAAGAATTGCATACGGACTTCAGTGTTCCACTCTAATCAGTCTGAGAACTACTTGCTGTACCTGGTAATATTCTGTCAGCATGACGGATGTCGGTCACATATCATTAGGAAGGCAGTCGATATTCTCGAAGTTTTCTGCTATCGGTGAATATGGAAAGGAGAGTTTGGTATAAGCACATGGTTCAGAGCTCGTTAATCATTTGGACATCTAGCTATATGTTAAATTGAAAGAGGTTATGCTCATAACCGAGCATAAAACTGAAGGATCAGTTATATAAACTGAGGTACGGTAGCTTATTTACCCATTTATCTAAAGCCTATGTACTGCTGTGTTCATACGAGATAAAAGCAAAAATAACTTTACAAATGGTTAAATCAATTTTAATTCTGCATTATATATCTTTGTACGCCAATGAAAGTACTGTTCCGCGCAACGTCCTTAAATTTCGAGATATTTTCATGACGAAGGAACAGTTTTATGTCTTCTCTCCGCAAAGTCTGTATCTTATTCTACAGCCACTGCTTCAGCACTCGCTCTCGAGTGCCATGGGTTTTGGCGTACCAGGTTTGAAAACGTACGAAGCAATCACCGCTGTGGCTAGGGTTCGATCCCATATCACGTCATGCAAGATTTGCTGTTGAAAAATGTGTCACTATTTCGGTTTCCCCTCTCAATTCTCATTCCATCAACTGCTCTCTATTCATTACCAATCCTACCATCGACGGCATGTAGTCTCGTTACTGACAGCATCGTTAAATATGACGAATATGACCATTGCTAGGTAACGGTCTGATAACACGTTCCCGTACAACGGACACGGAAGTCCATTGTTAGCCAACGGCACGTCAAACACACATTCCCGCGGCAACGGGTAAAACAGAGTAATACAAAAGCTGTTGGAGATGGTTATCTATATTCGGTTCCCCCGGAAGTTAGTTCAGTTCACGATATTTCAGTCGTAGTTCAGTGTTCAGAGGATAATCGAAGCTGAAAAAGTGACCGATTCGTAAACCAAAACCAAATGAGAAGAAGATAAGACACTCGTAATTCAGTAAGGAGTGGAGTGAGTCTTAAACACTCATTGACTGTGAGCTGTCATACTCGTAGTTGGTTGTGATTGTAACAGAAGTGGCAATAAATCTAATCAACGAATCCAGAACCCGTTGTTATTAGTCACGCAAACCCCTCATGCGTGGCAATATCTAGGAAAATGTGGGGTGGGAGACGGACTTAAAACTGATAATCAGATCCACGTGGAATCATAACTGAACAGGACACGGGCTTCCACGGACAGGACATAGGGAATTTCACTCTGTAGCGCTTTAGGGTCCAAGACAGGTCAGCTACAAACTTGCGCAACAATATTATATTTAAGCATCCTGTTGCACTCTACACTTCTATATGTATAATATAAATACCGTCATAAATGCAACAATTTATTGTAGTTCTTTGTCTTTCTTGTTTTACACTACATGTTTCGGCCGTAACTGGCCATCTTCAGGTGTATTTCACTTACGTAGGTGTCACACTGCATGTAATTTAAAATTTAAAAACATCAGCTTTCTCAACTGTCATTGTTGCGTCATTGTCTTCAAGTCATTTTCACAAGTGCTCTATGTTTTCCCCTTTCGTAACACGGCAGATGTGCTCATGGCAGTCCAGTTCTTTTTGCAGCTTGCTAAGGAAGACTTCGCTCAATTGCTGTACGTCTGTTAACATACGAATCATCAAATTACCACCGTCTTACGTAGGAGAAGACAAGCAGATGGCGTCCTTTAGTAATCCCCGTATCAATAAGCATAATGCGATTACTTCACGCGACTTCAGTGGCTATGGAACTGGTCCGCCACAACCAATCAGACTAAGAGGGCGATGTTTAGCAAGGACTGAAGGAGTACGAGTGCTGGCCCAGCAAGTTGCCACTCATTAAATATTCAATATATATATATATATATAT